AACTGGGAACTGCTTAGGGCAAACCTGCCTCCTATTCTACTCCTAAATAAGATAGCTACAAAGATAAAAAAGCTACATACCTCCCTCACAGTTTGCCAACAGGGAAACTCCTTGTAGACAAAGGACAGTCAGAACTCAAAGTCATCCTGCTCATGTGAGACAAATGCATATCTGATTGTTTCATTTGCCATATTACTTCACTAAGCCAGACTAAGCCATAAATGACTATTCCTGTACGTTGTGCATTCAGTGAAAGGCTAATCAGAAGCTCAAAAGAATGCAACTGGTTGTTTCTTATCTACCTATGACCTGGAAATCCTTTCCCTTCTTCCAGTTGTCTTGCCTTTCTGGCCTGAACCAAGGTACATCTTACATATATTGATTGATGTTTAATATGTCCCTAAAACGTATCAAACCACACTGTGCTCTGATCACCTTGGGCACATAGTCAGGACCTCTGGAGGCTGTGTCACGGCATGTCCTTTACCTTTACTTTTTGGTTTACAGCATAAGCAGAATTGAAAACAAAAGCCACATAATCATCTCAGTCGTGAAGAAAAGTCTTTCAACAAAATTTCACATGCCTTCATTTAAAAAAATCCTCAAAGAACCAGGCATGGAAGAAACTATCTCAAAATAATAAGAGCCATCTTTGACAAACCCCAAACCAAGATTGTACTGAATGGGCAAAAGCTTGAAGCATTCCCCTTGAAAAACAGAACAAGACAATGATGCCCTCTCTCACCACTCCTATTCAATATAGTATTGAAAGTCCTAGCAGAGCAATCAGGCAAGAGAGAGAAATAAAAGGCATCTAGAGAGGAAGTCAAACTATTCCTGTTTGAAGATGATATGGTTTTATACATAGAAAATCCCATAGTCTCTGCCCAAAAGCTCCTAGATCTGATAAACAACTTCAGCAAAATTTCTGGATACAAAATTAACCTACAAAAATCAGTAGCATTCCAATACACCAACAATATCTGAAAGAATGAAATACCTAGGGATGCAGCTAACTAGAGAGGTGAAAGATATTTACAGTGAGAATTACAAAATACTGCTCAATGGAATCAGAGATGACACAAACAAGTAGAAAAACATTCTATGCTCATAGATAGGAAGAACTAATACATTAAATTGCCATACTGCCCAAAGCAATTTACAGGTTCAATGCTATTTCTATTAAATTACCATTGATATTCTTCACAGAATTAGAAAAAAAAAACTATTTTAAAATTCGTTTGGAACCAAAAAAGAGCCTGAATAGCCCAAGCAGTTCTAAACAAAAAAGAACAAAGCTGGAAGCATCACATTACCTGTCTTTCAACTGTACTACAAGGTTACAGTAACCAAAATAGCATGATACTGGTACAAAAACAGACACACAGACCAGTGGAACAAAATAAAGAGCTCAGAGATAAGGCCACACATCTATGACCAACTGATTTTTGACAAAACTGACAAAAACAAGCAATGGGGAAAAGAGTCCCTATTCAATAAATAATGCTAGGATAACTGGCTAGCCATAGGCAGAAAATTGAAACTGGACCCCTTTCTTACATCATATGCAAAATAAACTCAAGATGGGTTAAAGAGTTATTTGTAAAACCAAAAAGTATAAAAACCTTGGAAGATAACCTAGGAAGTACTGTTCTGGATATAGGAACTGGCAAAGATTTCATGACAAAGACACCAAAGGCAATTGTAACAAAAACAAAAATCAACGAATGGACCTAGTTAAACTAAAGAGCTTCTGCACAGCAGAAGAAATTATGAGCAGAGTAAGCAGATAACCTTCAGAATGAGAGAAAATATTTGCAAACTATGTATTTGACAAAGGTCTAATATCCAGAATCTACAAGAACTTAAGTCAGCAAGCAAAACCAAACAACCAGATCAAAAAGTGGGCAAAGAATATGAACAGACACTTTTCAAAAGAAGACACACACATAGCCAACAAGCATATAAAAATGCTTATTATTATTAGTGATTAGAAAAATGCAAATCAAAATCACAATGAGATACCATCTCACACCAGTTAGAATACACCATGGAATACTATGCAGCCATAAGAAGCAATGAGATCAAGTCCTTTGCAGGGAAATGGATGGAGCTGGAAGCCATTATCCTCAGCAAACCAATTCAGGAACAGAAAACCAAACACCACATGTTCTCACTCATAAGTGAGAGGTGAACAATGAGAACACATGGACACAGGGTGGAGAAAAACATACACTGGGGCCTGTCAGAGTAGGGATGGGGGCAGGGATTGCATTAGGAAAAATAGCTAATGCATGTGGGGCTTAATATTTAGGCAATTGGTTGATAGGCGCAGCAAACCACCATGGCACACATTTACCTATGCATGTACCCCAAAATTTACTATAAAAATTTTTTTAAATTCCAAAGAAAAGTTTTTAAAAAGTCAAAAATTAAAAGATGCTGGAATGGTTGCAGAGAAAAGGGAACTTGTATACATTGCTGGTAGGAATGTGAATTAGTTCAGCCATTGTGGAATGCAGTGTGGTGATCTCTCAAAGAATTCAAAACAGAATTGCTGTTCAAACCAGCAATCTCATTATTGGGTATATACCCAAAGGAATATAAATCATTCTACTGTAAAGACACAGGCACATGGAGGTTGATCACAATATTATTCACAGTTACAAAGACATGGAATCAACGTATATGCTCATCAACAGTAGACTGCATAAAGAAAATGTACATATACACCATGAGATATTACACAGCCATAAAAAGAATGAGATCATGTCCTTTGCAGCAACATGGATGGAGCTGGAGGCCATTAGCCTAAGGAACAGAAAATTAAATACTGCATGTTCTCATTTATAAGTGGGAACTAAACGTTGAATGCATATGGACAGAAAGAAGGGTACAAGAGACACTGGGGCCTACTTGAGGGGGGATGGTGGGAGGAGAATGAGGATCAAAAAACTACCTACTGAGTACATGTAATTTACCTATATAACAAACCTGCACATGTACTCCTCAACCTAAAATAAAAGTTAAAAAAATTAACATAAAATATTTTCTAATGAATATTCCCAATTCAGATTTCCTCAACTGGCACAGTAGTGCCTTTGTAGTTAAATTTTTTTTTAAAAAATGGAATCTCACTATCTCACCCAGGCCAGAATGCGGGGTGGGATCTCAGCTCAGATCTCACTGTGTTGCCCAGACCAGAATGCAGTGGTGGAATCTCAGCTCACTGCAACCTCCATTTCCTGAGATCAAGTGATTCTCCTGCCTCAGCCTCTCAAGTAGCTGGGATTATAGATACTCGCCACCACACCTAGTTAATTTTTTTGTATTTTTAGTAGAGATGGAGTTTCACCATGTTAGCCAGGCTGATCTTGAACTCCTGACCTCAAGTGATCTACCTGTCTCAGCCACCCATAGTGCTAGGATTATAGATGTGAGCCACCGCACCTGGCCTAAAAATGCTTAATCCATGGTTTAATCAAAGATTATACATTATCTTGTTTTTGAAATTTGCTTTTTTTTTTTTTTTTTTTAATTTTTTATTGGATTTTAGGTTTTGGGGTACATGAGCAGAGCATGCAAGACAGTTGCGTAGGTACACACATGGCAGTGTGCTTTGCTTTTCTTCTCCCCTTCACCCACATTTGGCATTTCTCCCCAGGCTATCCCTCCCCACCTCCCCCTCCCACTGGCCCTCCCATTTTCCCCCCAATAGACCCCAGTGTTTAGTACTTTCCTTTCTGTGTCCATGTGTTCTCATTTTTCATCACCCACCTATGAGTGAGAATATGCGGTGTTTCATTTTCTGTTCTCGTGTCAGTTTGCTGAGGATGATGTTCTCCAGATTCATCCATGTCCCTACAAACGACACAAACTCATCATTTCTGATTGCTGCATAATATTCCATGGTGTATCTATCACCAATTCATGCCCATAGTTTCCAAGGGAAGAGTAAACTCCTTTCTCAGCAAGGTCAAATCAATGAGAAAATCTATCAGTTCTATTTGTTTTTTGGAGATGCCCCTCCCACAAGTCTTCTGTGTATGAAGAAGAGTTAATACACAGTTTAACTGCACAGTTTCTTCTTGACACTTGGCTTCACACTTTGTCACCGTCCTAGGTTAGAGTCCATGTTTTCTGGATTCCAGGTCTTCTTCTGCCTTGATTTGTTACTCTTTTGTTTTGGTAAAAAACATCCTTCAGTAGCTTCTTGTAGGAGGGTGCATTGGAGGTAAATTTTTTGAGAATGTACATGTCTCAAAATACCTCTATTCTACCCTCACACTCAATTGGTTAATTTTTTTGAGAATGTACATGCCTCAAAATACCTCTATTCTACCCTCACACTCAGTTGGGGTATAGAATTCTAGGTGTAAATGTAACTTACTCTTCACATTTCCCAGGTATTGTTCTGTTGACTTCTAGTTTCCAATGTGGATTAGGCATCCGATACATTCTTTTTTTTTTTTTTTTTTTTTTGAGAGGATGTCTAGCTCTGTTGCCCAGGCTGGAGTACAGTGGCATGATTTCAGATCACTGTAACCTCTTCCTCCTGTGCTCAAGCAATTCTCCTGCTCTAGCCACCAGAGTAGCTGGGATTACGGGCGTGTGCCACCACACTCGGCTAATTTTTTTTTTTTTTTTTGAGACAGAGTCTCACTCTGTCTGTAGCACAGGCTGGAGTGCAGTGGCGTGATCTCAGCTCATTGCAAACTATGCCTCCCAGGTCCCCCAGTTCAAGACATTCTCCTGCCTCAGCCTCCCAAGTAGCTGGGATTATAGGTGCGTGCCACCATGTCCAGTTAATTTTTGTATTTTTTATAGAGATGGGGTTTCACCATATTGGCCAGGCTGGTCTTGAGCCCAGGTAGGGCTCAAGCAATCTACCTGCCTTGGCCTCCCAGACTGCTGGGATTATAGACATAAGCCACCATGCCCAGCCGTCTTCTAATCTTTCTATTGAAGTTTTCATTCTTGTTTTTTATTTTTTATTTAAAAAAAATATGGAACGCTTCACGAATTTGCATGTCATCCTTGTGCAGGGGCCATGCTAATCTTCTCTATATTGTTCCAATGTTAGTATATGTGCCACCGAAGTGAGCGAGCACCATTCTTGCTATGTTTTTAATTTCCAAGAGCCTCCTTTTTATTCTCTGATTGTTTCTTTTGTTAAAACAAATAAGCAAACAAACAACAACAAAAATCTGGGCAAGTGGCATATGCCTGTAGTCCAAGCTATTCAGGAGGCTCAGGCGGGAAGATCTTTTGAGTCTAGAAGTTCAAGGCCAGGCTGGGCAACATAGTGAGACCCTGTCTCTAAAACAACAACAACAAATTCTTTTTCAGAGGATTCTAATTACAGTTTATTTGATTTTTTTTTTTCTTTTGTCGCTGTTTCCTCTAAGTTCTGCCACCCTCACTTTTTGCTTTGGGATATGCCTCTTTTTTTTTTTTTTTTTTTTGAGACGGAGTTTCGCTTTTGTTACCCAGGCTTGAGTGCAATGGTGCGATCTCAGCTCACCGCAACCTCCGCCTCCTAGGTTCAGGCAATTCTCCTGCCTCAACCTCCTGACTAGCTGGGATTACAGGCACGCACCACTGTACCCAGCTAATTTTTTGTATTTTTAGTAGAGACGGGGTTTCACCATGTTGACCAGTAGGTCTTGATCTCTTGACCTCGTGATCCACCCACCTTGGCCTCCCAAAGTGTTGGGATTACAGGCTTGAGCCACCGCTCCCAGCCGGGGTTATGCCTCTTATGTTGGGGCTTTCCTATAATATCTGTTGATCTTTGATTGTCTGTTTATATTTCAGACTGAGGATGGAAAGCTGACTGTGGTGGGAAGTGGGGGATCCTAGTGAATAGTAAGCCTCCCTGGAGGATTAACAAGTGAGGAGCAAACCAATTTCTGGCAGGCTTGCCACATGTTAGTATCATAGTAGGATTTATTGATCACTCATTTTGTAAGGGGTAGATTTGTGGGAGATGAGGGTGAAAAAGGCTGGGAGGTCTTGCAGGCCAGTATGCAGATTTCCTCAATTTTATTCTCTTTTCAGTTCACCCTGCCTCCTGCTTTTCCAGGCCCCTGGAAGAACTTTTGATCTCTGACTCCCAGGGTTCTGAGGTTGGGTAACTGGCTTCTTGCTGGTCTTCCCTCTGTTGGTGTGTGGGTTTCAGTGTTTTTCTAATCAGTCACACTCAGCCAATGGCTGCCAACTTCCTGAAACTGTGATTTGGTCTGCTGTTGTTTTCTTCTTCCACTCTTTATTTCCATGTGGATTTATAACTTTTACTTTCCTCTTCTGTCTTTTGAGAGGGCGTCGGAATGGAGTGGAGACAAAAGCTCATGTTCATTTTTCCATCTTATTAGGCAATCAATTTGTTATTATGCTTTTCAGATAATCACTTCATGGTTTTCCTTTAGAAGAAGACTTCTTCAATCACATGTATAGTTGAATACACCATACTTTATTTTATCATGGGAATAAATTCTTGACTAGTTTAAAGATACTTAGCATGTATTAGGTCATCTAGTGGATAAGTTGAATTCAGCATCATAGACTTTGACTAAAAAGAAGCCTCCTGAAACCTATAAAAAGAGCTAGAAAGTGTCACTATATTCTTTGTGTCTTTGTAAAATCTTCTCAAATAGAAGAGTATGTCCTCTACTAGATGTAAAGAACACACATACACATTTATTTTGTGGTTTATTTTAGTATCTATTTCAGTTTGTCTTCCTGGCTATCTTAAAATCTTACTGTTGTAATTGAAGATGTTTTGCCCTTAATACCCTTGTGGGAGATGAAAAAAATAACTGACTAGACTGTTCTTCTTTGTTTATAGCAGCTTTTAAAATTATTATTATTCAGTAGGGATTAGATTCGATTCTGTTCTCCTCTGGGATGTTTTACTAGTCCATGGCTGGCCTTTCCTAGGAATTAATTGAAAAGGAAATGGTAGATATGATTAGATTGCTGGACCCAGTAAAAAGGTAGCGGCTGAGAGGTATCCATGGCCAACTGAGACAAGCTGCCAGTGAATTATGCTGCTCTGTGCTTATTAAGACTTCAAGTTGCACAGAAATGGATTGAAAAGATGTAAGTTATCCAGTCGCTCAATATTACCCTCAATAATTTACTTAAAAAAAAAGAACAAAACTGATCTGAAGATGATATCAGTCAGGAATTTAAAATTACTAATCTCTTTTCATAACTCCAAAAGGATTTTATGTCTGTCACTACAAAACCTGCTGTGGATATTCCTAAACCTCAATTCGGCCAACTACTGAGAATTCCCACAGCATGAAAATATATGAATCGCCAGTGCTTGGGCTTAATGCAAACCAATTAAGTTATTAAATAGCTGAAGTGTGAGCTAAAGCCTGCTACATAATTTAAATGCCATCTAGTGGATAAATGTCATCTTTAGTCCTCATTCAAAACACTTTTGGTGTCTTATAGTATTTTTCTTAGGATGATATACCAAATAGTTTTGAGTTAAGCATATATGTCATTGGCTTATATGGCTATAAAACAGAATTGTTGCTTGGTTTGAGTAACATGCCATCAAATAGTGCCAATAGTCCAGGCATAGTGGCTCAAACCTGTAATCCCAGCACTTTGGGAGGCTGAGGTGGGTGGATCACCTGAAGCCAGGATTTCAAGACCAGCCTGGCCAACATGGTCAAACCCTTTCTCTACTAAAAATACAAAAAATTTGCCGGGTATGGTGGTGCATACCTGTAGTCCCTGCTACTCAGGAGACGAAGGTGGGAGAATCGCTTGAACCTGGGAGGCAGAGGTTGCAGTGAGCTGAAATTGCACCACTGCACTCCAACCTGGGCAACAGAGCGAGACCCTGTCTAAAAACAAACCAAACAAAAAATCCAAATAGCACCCATAGTTATAATTTACTATTTTGTCATTGAAAAATTAAAAGTATGTATGTAATGTTAGGAAACTAGTATAGGACCATATTTAATCATTGATAGAGAATTTAAAGGATAAGCCTTCAGTCTTAGCAAATGAAAGAGCTGTGAGGGAGACATATCATTTGTCCATAAGTTAAATGTCATGGACAAACACATTAGTATGATTATAGTAATAGTGGCCTTGAGAGCGGCAGCCAACGTAGTTAAAGGCTTATATGCCAGGTACTGTTCTGCATGCTCTGCTTGTATTAACTCATTTGATCTTCACAATAACCTAATGAGGTAGGTACTATTGTTGCATCCATTTTATGGACAAATTGAGGCACAGAGTGGTTAAATTTCATGCCCACTAGAGAGAGGCCAAATAGGAATTGGAGCATTTGGAGTATCCTTTGGTTTTTAACTGGCTTGGATTTCGGGTAGTGCTTTGGTAGAAGGATCCACAGAGAATCATGAAAGACCCTTTAATATAACTAGGACACAGTCACCACTTGATCATTCTATGCCAATGCTCTAGGCAGAGTCTGGGAATGTTGGCTCAAGGATGAGGCTGTGCAAACAAGGCTCTCTGTGGGTCCCTGACCAGAACAGCTTTGGTTAGACCTACTTGCTCTTTTGGCTCTGTGGGGGTAAATCACCCCTGGAGAATTGAGAGTGGATTTTGCTTTTGTATAATTGTGGTCTGGGTTTATTTGTAATCTCCTTCTCTCTCTATTTAGATCATAGAGTTGATTGATTTGAGTGTAACCAAACTAGCTGTGGTCATTCAATAAATAGAACATCATTAAGCATTTTTCTTCTTGCTGGTCACAGATATGGTTCTGTTCTTTCACTTTGGACATGTGATCATTTAAAGCCTTAAGGATTAGAAATTAGGTTACTACCTCACATAGGGATTTGTTGATTTTATTGTATTGTGTTTTATCATATTGTATTTATTTATTTTGGGACAGAGTCTCACTCTGTTGCCCAGGCTGGAGTGCAGTGGTGTAACCACTGGTCACTGCAGGCTTGACCTCTCAGACTCAAGTGATCCTCACACCTCAGCCTTTGAAGTAGCTGGGACTACAGGTGTTTGCCACCACACCTGGTTAGTTTTTAAAAAAAAAAATTCGTAGAGACAGGACTTGCTATGTTGCCTAGGCTGGTCTTGAACTCCTGGGCTCAAGTGATCCTCCCATCTTGCCCTTCCAAAGTGCTGGGATTACAGGCATCAACTACTGCATCTGGCCTGCTTTATTAATTTTCGTGAGGGCCTGCTTTATTCATTTTCGTGAGCCTCACACACAGTTTTCAAGGTCAATAACAATGGGTTTATTATCCTCAATTTACAGATAAGCAAACTAAGACTCAGGAAGATTAAGTGGTTTGCCCAAATTCACATGATATATGGCTAGAGAAGTAAGACTAGAACCTAGGCATTTCACTGAATTTGTTAAAACACACACACACACAGCCGGGCACGGTGGCTCAATCCTGTAATCCCAGCACTTTGGGAGGCCGAGATGGGTGGATCACAAGGTTGAGAGATCGAGACCATCCTGGTCAACATGGTGAAACCCCGTCTCTACTAAAAATACAAAAAATTAGCTGGGCACGGTGGTGTGTGCCTGTAATCCCAGCTACTCGGGAAGCTGAGGCAGGAGAGTTGCCTGAACCCAGGAGGCGGAGGTTGCGGTGAGCCGAGATCGCGCCGTTGCATTCCAGCCTGGGTAACAAGAACGAAACTCTGTCTAAAAAAAACAAAAACAAAACAAAACAAAAAAAACACACACAGACACACACGCACACTCATTTTTCTAGGTATATAGTATTAATATGTATATACGTATAAATGACAATGACAATTGAGTATTTAAGCATTTTAAGATGGCCTGATTTGAAAATGAAAATTATGCTAATTCCACTTTTTAGAAAACAAACACTGAGTTTCACTCAGTTGCCAGGCTGGAATGCAGTGGCATGATCATAGAGTTGCAACCTTCAACTCCTGGGCTCAAATGATCCTCCTACCTTAGCCTCCATGTAGCCTCCTGAGTAGCTGGGACTACAGGTGCATGCCACAATGCCCTACTAATTTTTAAAATTTTTTGTAGAGATGAACCTCTAATTTCAATTTTTTTCATCCATTTTGTACTTCCTCAGGTACTATTAAACTATTAAAAGATTTTCAATAG